CGGGGCGGGGCGGGGCGGGGCGGGGCGGGGCGGGGCGGGGCGGGGCGGGGCGGGGCGGGGCGGGGCGGGGCGGTCTGGGGTGGGGGATGGGGGCCCGGGGCGGTGCAGGGCAAATACTCCGCGGGCGACGCCAAGGGCCGAGGGGGTAGTTGGAGCCCCCTCGCTGATCCTTAAACTCGCCTGCTTCAATCCATGTCCCGGATCCGCTCCACGACCAGCCCCTCCGGAACCATAACCAGGCTAATCTTTAGCAAAAGGCGGGTCTTAGCGCAAACCCTGAAAACCCTGTCCACACAGCTCTTCACAGTTTGCCCGCAAGCTCATGCATGCACCTACCTACCTATCTACCTACCTACCTACCTACCTACCTACCTACCTACCTACCTACCTACTTACCTACCTACCTACCTACCTACCTACCTACCTACCTACCTACCTACCTACCTACCTACCTACCTGCCTACCTACCTACCTACCTATCTACCTACCTACCTACCTACCTACCTACCTACCTACCTACCTACCTACCTACCTACCTACCTACCTACCTACCTACCTACCTACCTACCTACCTACCTACCTACCTACCTACCTACCTACCTTCATTGCCCACTTGTAGCATCCGAGTTCCGGCGGTGGCGCTGTCAGCCCAACCGGTGGTGGCGGCCCTTGGGCTGATGATGTCACCGCCTGCAGCTTGGACCAGTTGCGAGAGGGTGTGCTGCTGCCGCTAGCCCGCCTGCGTCAGAGCTTCCAGATACCGGACATGTACACGCGGGTGTTGCAAGAATGGTCGGCAGCTGGTTTCGATGGCCTGGACGAGCGTACGGCGTCGGATCTTCTCAATCTGTTTGCGGAAAGGCCGGCGTGGGCTGCAGGTTCATCCTTTCGGCGGGTAGGGGCGGATAGAAGGGATCAGGAAGGGGGGGATACATCACACATGACAGTGATGACAAAGATTGGCCTCCGTGCCAGTTGGGTTGTTAGTAGTTGAGTGCTTGGGTGGGAACGAAGCGGCGCTGTGTGGGAAGGTAGTGAACGTGGGGAAGGGGAATACACACCAAATTTGATGGCATGTGCTATGTGCCGGGTTTTGCCTCACCTACGGCTGCATGTGGGCGCCGTTCTGGGTGCTGTCTTCTCAAGGTCTTTCCCGCAAGCAAAAGATGGCAGTTGACCCTCCTGCCATGTCAGGTAATTCAGCTACATCGTACCTTGCGTGATGATGGCAATGGTAATGCCTATTGTTCTAGCCCTTCTCTGCCCTTCTCTTCATGACCCGTGTTGCAATGTGCTAAATTTCACTGCTTTGTACTGGGGGTATCGCGCCGCGCTGCAGGCTGTGCTGGACTTGCTTGCAAAGGCCTTATCTCTGCAGTACACCGATTCCGCCGTGATGTCGTCCATGATCCGTGCCGCCGGCCGGGCTTTGCGTATCGTGGCCTACAGCACTGCGGCGGGGCGGCCGGCGGGTTCCTCTGTACTGGTGAGAGCTGCAAGCATCGTTATTCACTCTTCAGGCGGGGCGGACGGCCTTTTTCAAGATGTGGTCCCTCGATGAAGATGCTCGCCCTCATCACCTTGTTATTGCTCCCGTCTCATAGCCGCTGGGGCATATTCTGCCGGCGAAACACACAGCCCGCTGTAACAACAACAACAACAACAACAGCACACATGCATGCACGCACTTATCATCCCCTCTCACACTCGCGCGTGCAACATCACACGCTTATTACACATAGCTGAGCATGAGCACTTGCCACAAGCCCGCTTATTCGTCTTCTGCTTTTAGTTGTGGTTGCGCTCTGGCATCCCTCGCACGCCTCTGGGCCTAACAGCCCACATCACTCCAGAACCGCACTACGCCAGGTCACCGTGTGTTTACACTCACCCCGCGCGCTCTCTTCTCTCTCTCCCCCTTGCTTTACCTCCTACAGGAGGTGACCGACCCACGGGCCGCAGTGCTAGTGGTTCCAGCCGTAAAGCGTCTTCTACAGCTCAAACCACCTGCCAAGCACATCTCAGACGCCGTTCAGACGCTGTTTCTAGAGCTAGAGTGGCGAGGTTCGCCAACCGGCGCGGCCGCCGGGACCTCTACACATATCCCTCCAGCTTCCGGCAACTCCTCTAACAGCCCATCTTCGCCGCCACCAGCCGCCCCAGCAGACACCGTAGCAGCCGACGACGAGCCTCCCTTGTGTCGGCTACTTGCGGAATTCAACCGGCCTGCCGGCGGAGCTTGTGTCACACCCTCGGCTGCATCGCCGCCTGTGGCTGCTGCCGCCTACCACAGCCCGCGAACGATGACAACCACTACGGCGACGGCGACAACGACGCCGCCGCCGAAAACGCAGCTTCCGGTCTTCGTTGTTGGGATTGAGGAAGCTCAGCGGCTGCTGGCAGATCTGCTTGAGGCCGCGAAGGGCTCCGGCTTGGGCACCTGCCAGTCGCGAAACCTGGCGGCATTGCTAGCTGCCTGTGGTGCTGTGGGCTACAGGCCACCCAACAACTGGCTGGTGCAGTTTTACATCGCCGCCGCTACCGCGCTGCATGGCGAGGCGGGCACCTCATCAGTCACCATCCTGCACAGCTTCGTGCAGGACCTGTTATATCAAGACAGCTGGGCGGCTGGCGGTGGAGTTGTGGCAGCGAGCGGGCCAGAGGACGATGGCATTGGTGCCAAAGGTGGCGGTAGTGGCACGAAAGCGCAGAAGGAGGATTGTCGGCTGCAGCGGCCAAAGCAGCAGCAGCAGCAACAAGAAGTGTTGGTTGATGGGCAAGAGTACGTGATTGCCAAGGGAATGCTGCTGAATGCCTTGGCGACCGCGCTGCTGCGGGAGCCCCTGATAAAGGTGGGTGTTTGGGGCCAACGGGGATGGGAGATGGTCACCAACGGGGGTGGCCTCTTCTTCCAGGCGCAGGCCCGCACACTCCGCCAGGCACGCGCTTTCCACGTCCTTGGAGAGAGCAAAACCCATGAGCTCACACCTATCAACGTTAGGCTTGATCCTCAAATCGGAACTGGAATCTCTAACAACACCGAGCAGGACCACCATTGCATGTGTTCCGAAGGTGCGGCCAGCGGGCTGAGGTCATCCGCATAAAAAGCAGTAGTGATGCCCCTTTGCCGTCGATGAGGGGGGCATCAACACTCGACTGCCCGCTTCGTGCGTCCTTCCCGTCTAACATATCCGCAAGAAATTCGACAAGCAACCTGAACAGCTCAGTGCCAAGGGGGCATCCTTGCTTAAGACCTTGTTTGGACTCGAAAGGTTTTCCCAGTCTTCGTCTTCCCATTAACGTTCATTGCCACGACGACCACCTTGTCATGGATGGGCTCGTTACACCTTAGGGGAGCAACGCAACTCAAGGTGTACCATACAGACACACGGCAAAGGTCTGTCCGGGTGCTTTTTCCACCGTCATCAGATAACGTATTGTGCGGGCAAGTGCAGCCCCCCAGTAGGGTTCACTCGGGAGCCTTCACATAATTAACAATGTGACCTAACGACCTAACGACCTAGCGACCTAACGACCTAACGACCTAGCGACCGGTGGGGTCCACATGTTGTCACTACCTGGTCTTCACTATAGGTCTCTCCGGTATAGGGACGCATAAAGGGAGGGTTCATGCTACAGGCTACCCGCAGGCACCCGCAGACACCCTACAACTAGTGCTAAAATCCTAATCCAGGTTATCCCGCACCCCGAGCACAACCCCAACACACGCGTGTTCAGGTCTCCGACCAGGAAAACATCCCCATCACTAGCATGTGCAGCTCGTTGATCGCTTGTTGTAGGTGCCTGCCCAAAGGCAAGATCCCCCACACCATCACAAAGCAACGTTTTAGATGCCGGGTCCCCCGGGTAAACACGGGATGTTCAGAGGCTATAGAGGTATACACATCGAATAAGCTAATTATTGACGTCAACATTAAGCACGCCCCCATCCAGAACACCTCACGCAATGCACAGCTGAAGTCCTTGCGTAGTGCGGTTATCTTTCCACGGAGTCAAGGATAGAGACACGGCCATAGAGACACACACCTCCAAACCAGCTACATAATCTACTTCATCAGCTTCAAGAACGAACTGAAGGGGAGCCCCTTTAGTTCCCCTTCCGTACCACTAGCTGCACTGTGTATCCCGGAACGGGAATGTTGCTTTCTGTGACACTGTGCCGTCAGCGGTGCGTTAAGGTGCGTTAAGGTGATGACAAGCGGGTCGTGTGCTGCAGCAGACCTGGCGATGCTCGGAATGCAAACAAAGTCTGCGGTTTCCGTTTCAAACAAAACAAGCCAGCCTCTAGCTATCTAGGGAAACATTACTCCCTGTCAGAATCTGCTGCAGGCTGCTGTCCGTCCGGACCGTCACCTCCTAGCGGGCCTGGCCTGGCCTCTGTTCTCAGGGGATGAACTGAAGGGGATGAACTGAAGGGGGCCAACAACCCTTTGGTTCACATTCCCTAGCTAGCTAGCTAGCTAGCTAGCTAGCTAGCTAGCTAGCTAGCTAGGGACAACCTCGACGTTTTGGCCTGCTGCCAGCGCCCTGGGGCACATACTTGCCACTGCCCGCACTCTGGTATGCGCCGTTGCTGCTGCCAGCCACCCTGGTACATGCACCTCCTTGCCACCGGTTTTTGCCTCACCGCTCAACTGGTTGAGGGGAGGCGCACGGGGGCCATCTACGTCAGTGCGAGGGGCTGTCCTGGTCCTCGCGGTGTGCGAGGCCTTTTGGGATTTTGGGCCTTGGGCTTAAGAGGTGCTGGGTTCGCTTTCCCTTTCCCTCACTCTCGGAGGCTACCCCGCCGCTGCACCGGGGGTAGGTGAACCTTTGTGGCCAGCAGGTGGGAGCTCATAAAAATATAAATAATAAATAATAGCATAAAAATAAATAATAATAAATAAATAATAAATAATAAAAATATAGAAGCCGTAGTCGTAGATAACAGCTGCTTTGTACGAGCGTTCTCGAAGGCCGCTCACCAACGCGCTGCTTCGCATGGTCGCTTTCGGTATGTGCGTGCATTCCGTGGAGGGCTTCACGTCATCGTGTGTGTCTGTGTGTATTATTTACATGTCCACCGCAGAGCTGGGGAGAGACCCCAGACCGGCTACCGCTCCTGTTCCGTCATCTGGCGGCGCTGGGCCTACAGCCGCAGCGCGAATGGCTAGCCAGATACACGCAACTGCTGCAGTGCAGTCTGCTGGGCTTGATGTCACTGGAGGGCCTGGCGCACGTTGCCGAGGGAATGGCGCTCATGTGCATGGAGCAGCCGCCGGCCCCGCCGCCATTTCCTTCGCCAAACGCTATTGCTGCCTCTACTGCGGCTTCTGCTGCTACTGCTTCGCTTCTTGATATGCTGCTGTTGGAAGCTAGCCGGAAGCTGGGAAGCCCCGGCTTTCCGAACGACACGTATCACCTAGGTCTGCTTGCGGGGGGAATCCACGCTATGGTCCAGTGCAGCAAGCGACAAGGCGAGGCGTCCTGCAGGATGTCCCGCCCAAGCCAGGCTCAGCAGCCCCCGCTGTCGCCGCCTCGACAGCAGCCCGGGATGTCAGCGGCGGCGAGGGCGGCCTGGGATCACATCCGCTCGCAGCTCAAGGTTCAGGTCCGCAGAGACGTGGGCGTGCTGGTGCGGTACCGGCCGCCGGGGCAGCTGGTGCTGGTGGTGGCGGCACTGGTGCACAGCATGCGCAGTACAACGGCTACCTGGCTTCGGGCATGTGCTCAGGTCCGTGTGTGTGTATGTGCGCGTGTGTTAGTGCATGTCTGTGTGTGTCTGTGTGTCTGTGTGTGCGTGTGTGTGTCTGTGTTTGTGTGTGTTTGCACGTATGTGTGTGCATATGTGCGCGCGTGAGTTGCATGCCGGGTAGAAAGGAGGTGGGTGTAACAGGGCGAAAGAGCAACGCACCCGCCCTGTGGGGTCCCCCGCTTTGTGGCTTCTGATCGTGCAGTTGGTTGGTCATTGGCTCGTTGTTGCCATCCGCTGTGGTCCTGGGGGGTTTGCTGGAAGTGCTGGGGGGTTGCATGTAGGGGGGGGGTCATATGCCATGTAACTCAGTTATCCCCTTTGGGCGCTAGTCTGGACTGATAATGCGGTGTTTCCTGTTCTCCGTGGCTTTTAGGCGTATAGATATTGCCCTTGGGCCTTCGGCTCGTATGGGTAGTTTTACAGGTATGGGGTCACGCACCCCCAACCATGTAATACACACACACATATGCCATGTGTATAGATCCTTTGCAGCTCTGGCACCGACCATCGGTGGGGTCGTGATGCTTTTCGGACGAAATGTTCGGACTTGGCAAGCATACGTCTAGCAAAGGGGAGGTCCCCGCAGGGTCTGGGGGAAGGTCCCTTCGTCTGTCGATGTCCACAGGCCTGGCCAATAGCTGCCAGTAGCTGCTGCTAGGCGCACATCCGCCTATCTTTATACGCGCCATTCTGAAGGACATGTCTCTTTCCTTTTTTCCTGATCCTCCAAGTTGCTCCAGATTACGTTTGATTTGTTCGATGACCTGGGGGTGCGTTGGTTCACAAATGCAGGAGCTGCTACGTGCCCGTGAAGCAGCCTTGGAAGCCGCAGCCAACGCTGCCCATGCCGCCACTCCAGCCACCGCCGCCACCACCGCCGGCGATGTCGCCCTCCGTCTGCTGCCGCCGGCGCCCCTGCTCGTGGACCTTCTTCGCCTGGTGTCGTACGTATTGTCCGTACAACGCCGCGACCGCGCCGCCATGCAGCTCAACATCATACCCGGCGCCACCACCGCCGGCGGAGCCGCCGTCGCAACACCAGCTGCTGCATCCAACCCATCTGCAGCTACACCACCAGCGTTCGGACATCACAACGAGGGCATCGCTTCAATGGTGGGCGTCGCAGCATTGGGCCCCGTCTTGGACTACGTGCATAAGGCCGTCATGGATCTCGCCTACCACGCTGCCACACGCGCCGCCATAGGCACCGACGGTACCTTGACCAAGATCAGCAGCCCCGCAGCCCGCACCCCCACCATAGACGAATGGATCGAGCTGTTGCGCGCCGTACTAGCCGCCGGTGTACGACTGGAGCCCTCCGACGTCACCCTTATATTCGTCGCTATGACCCGTGGGGCTCACTGGCTAGTGGCCACAGCTGCCGTCGTGCCTGCACGACCGCCAGGTCGGCAGCAGCTGCTGGACGCCTTGTCCCTCATAGGGATCGGCCTCCGAGAGGTGCTACTGCCGTTGCTGCCGCAGACGCCTACCCAGCCGCTGCTGAAGCAGCTGCGGGAGGGGCTGCTGGTTCAGTCGTCTGCGGCGGCAGCGGTACTGGAAGCGGCCAGCTGGCAGCACTTGTCATCCCTGTGCACCTACGGCCTGCAGGTAGGCCCCGAGCTGCTGCCAGAGGACTGGTGGCCCAGGCTGCAAGCGGAACTGCGGCGGCGGTGTCTGCTGCTGTTGCCCAAACGGAGGTTGCCCACTTCGGAAGTTACGGGTGCTGCTACTGCTGCCACTGCTGCTACTGCTGCTACTGCTGTGGTGGCGGCTGCAGTGGAGGCAACTGAGGTGGTGCACACCACCATGCAGCCAGGCTGCGGGCTATTCGGCGGCGTGGAGGGGGAGTATCCCAACCTGTCGGACATCACGGCGTTGTGCTACAGCTTGGAGGTCTGCGGCTACAGCGTACCTGGGGCTGCCATGTCCCTGCTGCGCACGTGTCTGGCAGCGCAGCCCATTGGTGAAGACGGCGCTTTCCATCTCGGTGGTGCATCATCCGTGCTCGACGGCCTAGGCGGCGACAGCGTGCTGTGGGCGCTACAGCTGTTGTGGATGTCTCGCCGATGTGGCTGCCTGGACAAGATGCCCGATAGGCTTTGGAATGTAGCGTTTGGTTCGTCGGGGGTTCCCCTCGGGCGTGGGGGTCCTCCGGCACTGCTGCACCCGCAGCAGCTGGGGCAGCTGGTGGTGCTACAAGCCGATCGGCTGCGATCGAGAGCCGTTGGCGACAGCAGTGGTGGTGGTGATGGTGGCGGTGGTGGTGATGGTGGTGTCGTCACAGCATGTCACAGCAGCAGCAGGCAGCAGAAGCACCAGCACCAAATTCGTGGCGACGCCTTGGCGACAAGACCCACCCCAATCCACCTGCCACACAGATTCCCTTCCACGTGGATCGAAGCCCTTGCGAGGGCCTTCCAGGACCAGCAGCAGCGGCAGCAGAACGGTTTGACTGGGAGGGGGGCGGGAGGAGGAGGAGGAGGAGGGTCACCGCCGCTGTCGCAGCCGCTGATGATGCAGCGCCCGCTGGAACCGCTGGTGGCGGCGCTCGCTGTCTGCTACTGCCTACCAATCGGCGACGGTAGCGAACGCAGTAGTAGCAATGTCCCGCTGTTGCAGCACTGCGTGGAGGTGCTGGTGGACCGGGCGCTGCCCGCACTGGTGACTTCCGACCAGCTGCTGCCGTTGGGGGACATCCCGGTCTTCCTGGAGGCCCTGGAACGGAGGGGCGTGCCGCTGCCGCAGCCGCACCTGCGAGCTATCGTGGCGCGCCTGGAGGGCAGCAACGGCCCCCCTGTAGCCGCGGCAGAAGAGCGCCACACGAGCAACAGCAGCAGCAGCAGCAGCAGCAGCAGTAGCCCCAAGTGCACCCCCGACGGCGGTGCTGCTTTAGCACAGCTAACACCGCTACAGGCAGTCTGGGTGGGTGGATCTGCTAGATTTAGGGATATGGGTTTAGGGTTTAGTCCAGCAGCACGCAGTTAGTACTTTCAAAACACGTGCTACCTGAAGTATGGCAGGTTGAAGATGCCGTACATGCCGTACCTGCGCACCCTCTCTCGCAGTTGCTTACATCACACACCCACACATACATACATACATACATGCAAAAACTCTCTCTCACCCCTGCCCGCACTGCCCTGACAACACCCGCAGGTCGTAAGATCGCTGCTGGCCGCTGCCGCGAGTGGGGCCCCCAGCGGGGGAGGGGCCATTGCCGTGGTGCCGCTTCTGCCTGCCCTCTCAGCCCTCCTGAGGAATAACCTGGAGACAAAGGAGCAAGTCAAAAGGTCAAAGAAAAAGCAGAAGACGATGACGACAACTCCGAAGGCGACAATTAAAACGGTTGCTGACAGGAAATTCAAGCTTCTACCCACCAGCATAACTGCCCCGGCGCCGCTGCTGATCTCTTCACCAGCCGGGCCACACCAGTACGAACCCCAGTACCGGCAATTGCGCATGCATTCGAGCATTTCTGAAGATATTATTCCACTCACGACGTCCACAGCTACTGCAACAGCAACAGCAGCAGCAGCAGCAACTACTGCTGCTGCTGCCAAGCCGCTTCCTGACCGGCCGCCGGCTGTTGCCGCGGCGGTGCCGCCGGCGGAGCTTGCACGGCTCGCGACCGCCCTCATCGAAGCCGGTCGCGACGCTCCATTGCCCGTCTCCGCCGCGGCGTTGCTGTTGCAGCTGTTCTCTGTCGACGCCGTGGTCCGCCTCCTGGACACGTCCCACCTGGATTGCGCTTTGCGACACGGCCTCGTCCTCGGCCCAAAGCACACCAGCAGGGGCTTGACTGGAAACGATGATGGCGAAGAGGGAGACGACGGGAAGGACACTGAGGTTGAGGGGGAGGAGCAGCAGGAGGAGGAGGAGGAAGAGAACAGCGAAGACGAGGGAGACGAGGGTGACCCAGCGCTGCCGCTACCTAGGCTGACGATGCTAGACGCGGCGCATGTGGCATTGGTGCGCAGGATGCGCCCCGTGATGGAGCTGGACGAGCTGCTGGTTAGACTGCGGCAATGCGGTGCGAATGACGAGCAGACGCGGCGGGCGCTGCTGTCGTGCTTGGCTGGGGAAGGCAGCGTCGAGGGGCTGAGTGTGAGGACGGCGCTGGGGCTGCTGCAGCAGCTCATGGAAAGCGGCGTGAGGGAGCGGCGCGATATCACTCTGCGGTGTCGTTGGGAGGCGGCGAATATGCTGCCACGTCGGAGGCCGAGCACCAGCGGCGAGGTGGTGATACCTTGGCGGCGGAACCTGGGAGATGGCGGTGGCGGCGGCGGCGTCCAGGGGGGATTCCAGAACATCAGCGTTGCGCTGCTAGGGGAAAAGGCTGGCAGCGGCGGCGATGGCGGCGGCGGCGGTGGCAGCGACGTACCTGACGGACCCTATGCGCGCCTGACGGTCCGGCTGGCGAGGCGTCTGGCAGTCCTGTCCAACAGTGGCGCGTTTGGGCTGGTGGGTCTGCGGGAGGCGGCGGAGGCGCTGCGTTTGCTGGCGGTGCTGATGCGGCGGCTGGAGGGCGTGATGGCGTGGGGGGAGTTCTGGCGCAGCGTGTACGGCATCTGCAGCTCAGTGGCATGCCAGGAAAGGATACATCCGCAGGCTGTGGATCATCCCGCGCTGCTGTTTGAGTATTTGGAAGCGGCATATGAGCTAGGTGCGCGGGGAGCTGCTGGGGGTCAGGGGTTTTGAGCAAGATTCAAAATTGAATTTGGATTTGGACGACGGTGGTGGTAGTTGCAGATGCCATGTCCTGGTGCGCTGGTGGACAATATTACTTGCTTTGCGGCTCCCATATCCCTTTGTGTGACTTCTTGTGGGACATCATCTGTGTGATTGCGATTGCGACTATGTTCTAGTACTTTATGCCATATCGTTACCGTTACCGTTACCGTTACCGTTACCGTTTGCCGTGCATGAACCCCAGGTGCACGCCGTACTTCCTCCCTTGCGCTGGTCCTCACTTCGTCCCCCAAAACACACGGGCGCAGCACACACCCACTCCTTCGCCTCAGCACATTCGTGCACATATATACAGACATCTTCTCTTCTTCCAGCTTCCACATAGTCCCCATTTTTAAAAATAAACGAGCGCGGACCCTCATGCATCATCCGGCCACTTTTGGATTACTACTCCTGCCACTGCCACTGCCACTGCCACTGCCACTGCCACTGCCACTGCCACTGCCACTGCCACTGCCACTGCCACTGCCACTGCCACTGCCACTGCCACTGCCACTGCCACTGCCACTGCCACTGCCACTGCCACTGCCACTGCCAATAGTATTTGGTGCTTTCCGTTTCGCTCTCCGTAAGCGATGTTTTCTTCTCATGATGCGCGATGTGCCTCACATCCAAAATCACTATGCTCCAGGTGGGGCGTACTGCAACGACCTGGTGTTCCGATCCAAGCACCGAACTACGACCACCAGCGAGGTCCGCAACGCAGCCCAGGCGCTGCTAGGGGATGACCCCGCGCGCGTCGCTGCCTTCGCTGCGGAGCTGTCCCACGCCTCATGGGCCACCTCGCATGCAGCCCGCCGGGCCAAGATCCGACTAGGCCTGCAGCCCGAGGACCTCAGCACCTACCCTATCTCCGCCGCTGGCGTGCGTAACCTGGCTCATGCCGTACGGCCCCTGTTGGAGCGCCACCTAGCAGCTATGAAAGAGCGGGAAGAGCGGGAGAAGGAGGAGGAGCAGAAGGAACGGGAGAAGGCTGAGGGGATTCTGGGGGTAGGGCATACACGGGAAGGGGGATGGGGCCAAGGGCATGGGCTGCAGGCAGAAGCCGGGGAGGGGGAGCTCGGTCTGCGGATTGCTGCCGCTGCTACTGCTGCCGCTGCCGCCGGACGGAGGAATCCGGGACATGGTGGCGGTAGCGGTGGCGCCTTTAAGGTGGTGAAGTTTCCGGATGCCGAGCTGACGAGGAAAGCGTTATTGCCGACAGACCCACGGGTCTTCTCGGCGCGGCAGCTGGGGCTCTTGTTCGGCCTGCTGTTCTTTCACTTCCATGCGCTGCCGCCGTCAGCCCAGGAGCTGGCCATTCGGGTGAGTGTGGGCGTTACAGCGACTGAGCAGGCGAACGTTACGCCGGGGGCCCAGTGGGACGGATGGTTGATGCTTCCCAAAGGAACTGTTGACTTGTCGGGGAAGGAGCTCCCCTGCTTTGACTTACTCCTCCTGGCCCCGCCAGGTGCACCTCCCACACACCGCCCCCCTCACATGCGGCGCAACGATCTATGCATGAGCTCAATCCACATCACCCACATCACCCACATCACCCACATCACCCACATCACCCACATCACCCACGTCACCCGCGGCATCCAGGCTCACATGGCTCTCTCTCCGCTGGTCGCCAACCTCGCCGAGCGGTCCGAGGGCAGCACCCCCCTGGAGCACCTAACCGCGGTGCTGGACGCGCTGGAGCCGGTCGCCCTCGACACCGGCGACCTCCACTCCAACTTCGACGACCTCTTCCACATGTCGGTACTGCTCTCCGCGCCGTTGTGCCGCGTGATGATGATGACCATCGGAGCCGATCACGGCGGCGGCGACGGCAGCGGCGGCGGCGACGAGCCGCTGCCAGTGGGCTTGGACCCCTGGGATGACGCCATGCTAGTGCGGTCGCCTTTTGAGGTGAGCGAGGACAGTCTTATGGAAGGGCTGTTCCTGCCGCAGCCAGGAGATGCCGTGGCGGCTGTAGTTGCTGTCACGGAGGCCGCCAACACCTCCTCCGTCGGCGGCAACAGCAGCAGCGATGGCGACGGCAGCATGGGTTCAATTATGACAGCGGCAGCGGCTGCGGCAATGGCGACGCAGGCGGCCATCTTCTCTACTTCCTCATTGGGAGGTACGGCAATCCGACTGGACGGGAAAACGTCGACGCGGGGAAGAGCATCGACGGGGCAGACTGCCGGCGGCGGCGGTGGCGAGGCTGCTGGCGGCGGCACCGTAACGCTGACCGTACAGGGGACGCCCCCATGGGCCCTCACAGCTGATGTGGCCGGGGTGCGGTGCGTGCCCAGTCTGAAGCTTCCGACCGCACTGCGGCCACCGCCAGGACGGCGCCACGGCATGCCCGGCGACGCTGCCGGAGGTACGGCGCGAGCGGCGTACGTGCGAGCCGTGGCGCCATGGCTGACGGCGGGCCGGCGCGTCGCCCGATTGCTGCACTCCACTCGCCAACGCGACGCGCTGGCGGCGGCGCTGGAGGTGCGTGGACTGGGCCACATAGGAAGGGGGCGTTGGGCCACGACATTCGGGCTGCTGTTGCACCCGCGGCGAGCGGTTGAGGGGATGGTCGCCCGGGGGATCATCAGCCGGGAGCAAGCGGCGGCCCTAGTGGCGCTGATGGAGGGAACAACACTGCAGCGGACATCTCGAGGCTTGAGCTTCGGACAGGACAACGATCTTAAGCCGCAGCCGTCAGCTGGGGAAAGCAAGCCACTGGAATCGAGCCTCAGATCCCGGTCAAGTGTCCGATCCAGCTCACGGACGGCTCGTGGAGGAGGTGGTGGTAGCGGTGGCCGCGACAATGTGCGTGAGGTGGTGTCAATGGCGGCGGTGACGCCACGCCGGCTGTTGCGAGGGGTGGCATCATTGCCCACTCGGTGCCGGGAGGGTGGCGGCGTTAGCGGAGGCGGTCCATCTCCTCAGTTGACGCCGCGGTCACCGCTACCGGGGGCAGTTTCCATTCGCAGAGCAAGCCCAAAGACCGTATCCGAGCGGCCACAACAACAGCAGCAGCAACAGCAGCAGCAGCAGCAGCAGCAGCAGCAGCCGTACGCCGCTGAAGCGAGATCCATGCTGGACGGTGCCTTCGCCGCCGGTGTGGTGCCGCCGGTGCTGGTCTCGCAGGAAGGCAGCAGCAGGCTGTTGGCTGCGCTTGAGCCGCTGCTAGCAGCTTTGGATGCGCCGCCGCCGCAGCAGCAGCAGCAGCCACCGCAGCCGCCATTACTTAAGCCGCAGCCGCCAGCTGGGGAGGGCCAGGGGTCTGGCGCAGTCGCCGCCGCCGCCGCCGTGGCCGATTACCCAGGCGTCAATCACAATAATAACAACAATATTAACGACAGCTCCAGCTCCAGCACCAGCTCCAGCAGCGGCTTACCCTTGGTGCAGACGCCGTCAGCATTGATCAGCGCCAACGTGCCCGCCAGCGTGGCGACCGCGGCTGTGGAGCAGGTGGAGCAGCTGCGGCAGCGGGTGGCGGAAGGCTCATCGATGGAGGTGGCCAGGCTGGTACTTATGACGGATGCGGTAGCGCTGCTGGAGGCGGAGGCCGAGGCGGAGGCCGAGGCGGAGGCCGAGGCGCGGCGGTCAAGATCCTCGGAGGCGGCAGCGGCAGTGGCGGCGGAGGCGGCAGCGGCAGTGGCGGCGGAGGCGGCAGCGGCAGTGGCGGCGGAGGCGGCAGCGGCAGTGGCGGCGGAGGCGGCAGCGGCAGTGGCGGCGGAGGCGGCAGCGGCAGTGGCGGCGGAGGCGGCAGCGGCAGTGGCGGCGGAGGCGGCAGCGGCAGTGGCGGCGGAGGCGGCAGCGGCAGTGGCGGCGGAGGCGGCAGCGGCAGTGGCGGCGGAGGCGGCAGCGGCAGTGGCGGCGGAGGCGACGGCAACGGAGAGGGCGAATCCGGGGCAGCAGTAGCTGTTGACTGTAAGGTGCCTTTTCCGGCCGCGGGTCCATGGAAAAGAAAAGAAGCCTCAGCCCGCCAGGATCTCACACTCCTCCTGGACTTGAGAATGGTATAGCTTATGTTAGGACGATGGCGCTGCGTCGGGCGTTAGGAGAAGAGGACGCGGCGGCGGGCGCTGGATGGCTTTCATCTCCCATCTGGCTGCGGGCCGATGTGTGAATAGAAGCGGACGACCGTTTCGACCATCTTGAGGGGCAACGGGCTCCCGCACTTCCTGGGTTTGGTTGGCAACCAGACTGAGGTCACATCCGTCCAACCCGTCCTCGGGTGTAGCGGGTGCGTGTTCAGTGCTGCTTAGGTGCTCTGGGACACTGGCGCATATCAAACGTTCAATCCCAATACCAATACCGACATCATCAGTGGCGGATTGGTCAGGTACACTCAGTTGCGGTTGAGTTATAGGCGAGTAGGCCATGCAGACGCACAGCGGCAAAATTATGATTAAGCTTGAAAACGCGCGCGACGACAGCAGAGAGTGTAATGGCTGGCCGCCGCCGCCGCCGCCCCTGAAAAATCCTTTCAAGACAAGTGCCCCGTCAGCGCTTTAGCAGGACGGTGTGACGGTGTGTGTCGTACTGCACACCGCACATGTGCGGTATGTATGTCCATTATGTCCTGGCGGCGATATATTGGTCCCCTCCCCCACGCGATCCCATCAGCCAACAAGAGCAGACCCCCAAGGTTGGCTGAAGGCTTCTTTGCATCCGTAGCCCTGAGGTGCGTATGTTTACCCTCTGCTCGACATGGAGGGGGAGGAGGAGGAGGAGAAGGTGGAGGAGGAGGAGGAGGAGAAGGAGAAGGTGGGGGAGGAGGGGTGTGCCGAAGGAGGAGGAGGAGGAAGAGGAGGAGGGGTGTGCCGTACCGCTGCTGTGTTCGTTGAGGAGATGAGAAGGTAGGGGCCACACAAGGCCGGTGCGCTCGGTGTCCAGGTGTGTGTGCTCGGACCGACTGATGGCGCACGTCGCTGCCGGTAATAGCTGCTTTCCAGGAGCGCCCCTAGGCGGCAGGGTGGAGGGCTGGAGGCGGGGGGCTCGCTCCTGGCCAACAATCGGCAGTCGTGGGAAGCGGGAAGTACCGCGTGACGCTGTAATCCTTATTTGTCAGCTCTTCGTTCATTGTGGAAATGTTACCCGCACGTCGAAAAGAAATCCGAAAGGGAAGTCCGCAAACGGGCATCATATCCTCAACAGAAATCCACCCCAGCAGCACACACATAGTCAAAATAAGAAGTTACAAGTTCAATAAGAAGTTACATGCTCAATACAAAAAGTTGCGGAATCCCGGTTCAATACAACCACAACCAGCCTCTCTCAATGCACCACACACACTTCTCGGGACCAGCTACGGGAACGTACGGAACTCGTGGGCCCCTTTTTTCCACCACCACCCCCAAGACGTCGTCATGCAGCATCCAGCAGTGCCGTGGGCCCACGTATTTAGATGAACTTATTTAAGCTTCTAGACACCCAGATGAATGAATGAATGAAGGCGCATTTACCTTTACCTCGCTTCCCTACCCCCCGCTTGGGCCCCTTGCGACAGGTTACGGTGTACGGACTGTACGTCAATTGTTTAAAGACTTACTGAACGTGACTCATGATTAACTCAGAGTGAATGAATAGCTTAGGAATGTAGGCTATCTTCTGCAACACGCAATGCAAGAGATCTTAGCACCTCCGCCACGTTTTCCGAATCTGGGCTGCTACTGGAATCTTCTCACCTCCGCGGGGGCGGTGCCCTGCCAACGGAGACGGAGAAGGGGCAGCTGCGGTGACGTCGGGTGCAACACAGGCGTCCCCTTCCATAGTACGCCGTACCCGACGGACGGCAGACAGACAGACAGACAAACGGATCGACACACAGATGCAGCATGCTGACAGACACAGACAAACAGGCAGACAGACAGATGCAGCAAGCAGACAGACAGACAGACAGACATGCAAAGCCCACAATCCAGAAATACACGCACTTCCGGGACCGAAAATGCGCCCCCAAGGGTGAGGGGAATCCGGCACTGAAGAAAAAGCAACGGTGCCAAACAAATATATCTGCACAGATTTGTGCTGTTTATAAGTGGGCTATCTATCAAGCCACAAGCCAGTCAATGCGGCAACGTCAATATAAATGTCAATATCAATGATAATGGCAAACGGCAAGCAAGCTGAGTGTGAACCTAAGCTGATTTCTTTTATCTCAGCTAGGCGCTGCAAGAGAGCTGCTTTCGCGTCCAAATCCCGATGTCCGTCGATGTAAGCCACCATGCAGCCGTAAATGTACGAATCGCTAGGTACGTCGTCGAATCGTACGGAAATTTTCGACCAACTAACTGCCTGTCGTTCCCCGACGCCGCCCCTCCGTGTGTTGTATCATAGATTCCTCCTTTCCAGGGGAATGGGGAAACAAGCCGTGTACTACACCAACCCGCCATGTACGACATGCGACACGAATCCCACTCTCGTCCATTCCCGCACTCCTACAACTAAAAAATCCGTTGTTAACTGCCCGTACGACAATCCACAACATTAACCGCCGGAACGGTAATGAAGGAAAATCGGGCGAGGAGTTCTTCACTTGCAGCATCCCTCCACCCCTGCTACTGGTGCTGCTGCTGTTGTTCCGGTCGTTGCTACATCCAAGCCCCTCCTCTGCAGCCGCACGAAGCGGCACCTCATCCGCACCGCCATCACCGCCGCCCCGAGCTGCCCCGAGCTGCCCCAAGATGTGAAGAGCGCCGCCGCCGCCAGAACCCGCGACGGACTGCTATACGGACATCGTAGTTGGGAAGTGTTGCGAGACGACGTACGGTGACTGCCGCCGTCGTCGCCGTCGCCGGCACAGAAGTACAGCACGACCAGGTGCAGTACATCCACATAAAACATCTGCACCGCCACCGCCAGCTGGGACCAGGGCCGTAGCTGAGCGAACAGCGGCGACAACACGCCGCGAATCACAAAAAGCATGAGCCAGATGGCCTTCTCATCCTGTCCCGTGTCAAGTCCTGGCCGGCGGAGGGTGTACGTCAACACACCCAGCACGGACGCCGCCAAACCCGTTGTCAGTACGGAAAGCCGTTCAACTTCGTCGACGTCATCTTCGGGATTTGAAGCGCCGTCGCCGCCGCCGGCGGCGGCGGCGGTGGTGGCAGCGGAAGTGATGGCGGCGGCGAAGAAGCCGGTAGACGATCTCACCCCTTGTGCACCGCGCAGCAGTGGCGACGCCGCCGTCGATGCTGCTGTGGCTCGGCGCTGCCGCCACCGCCGTACAATCATCGCTACCACGTGGCCAGCCAGCGGTGACCCCATCCATGTCACCCCCGCCAGCGCCTCCATCAGCCTGGTGGTGTTGCCGAGGCGACGCACCGGCGTCGTAAACACAATAAACATCGCTGCAATTGTGATGCCGTACAATACAGCAGCGCGGCGCTGGCATGGCGCCACAGTCCGCGACCGCCAGGTGACGTACGCGGCCTCCCATGCCCCCCTCGCCCGTTGAATGAACTCGCCGTTGGCGTCCACATGGCTGCCGAAACCGTTCTCATCACCGCCACCGCCGATGCCGACGCTGACGCCGCCGACGCTGCTTCCGTCCCTACAGCGCCGGCGCAGGCCGATCCACCGCCGAGCCGCAGCAAAAAACGCCACCCGCGCCGCCGCTGCTGTACGGCTTACCAGCAAGTCTGTCTCGGCCTCGGCGGCCGCCGCCGCCGCCGCCACCACCTCGCCGCCGCCGCCGCTCATCACCGACCTTGCCGGCGGCCGCATCTGCGACACCATATCCAGACAAGCCAGGAGACCATGGGTGCGCAGGAAGGCGGCTAGAGTGGCCGCAACAATCGCCTCCATGCCCCGTACGGCAACTGTACTGCCTTGGTGTGTGGCCGACGCAGGGATGGCCACAACACCGCCGACTGCTGCGGCACCAGCAGTATAGGCCGATAACATCGCTAGATCCGCCATCAGGGGCTGCATGTGGGCCCTATACGCCAGGCTGGCGGCGGGGCTGTAGCGAGGGGGGGATGTATCAGGGCAAGGCTGACACGGCGGCGGTGGTGGCGGCGGTGGCGGCGGCGGTGGTGCGGCCGCTGTTGTGGACACGGTGGTATCCGCTGCCGCCGCCACTGCCGCCACCGCCATGTCACCCACCGCCGCCTCCACCTCTTTCCCCTGCTGTTTCTGCCTCGTCTCTACCTCCGAAACCATGCGCCTCCACAGTCCCTCCAGCTCCACTCGCACCGCCTCCGCCACGTCCCCAACAGGAGGCGGCTCCGGGGTGCAGCCAGGGCCGTAACCACTGACACCACCTCCGCCAACGTCACCACCGGCGGTGGCAGCGGGGGCGACAGAGGGCCGTACAAGTAGCAGCACGTTGGTGAACCCCAGCCACTGCACCGCCGCCGCCTCCGGGGCCAGCCCCACTGAAACCCCGGCCCCCGAAGCTCCCACAGCCACAGCCCCAGGCCCAGCCCCAGCGGCGGCGGCGGCACGTGGATTCCGGTCGCACGGCTCCGGCTCATCATCGGCCACAGCCGCAGCCGCCACCACTTCCGCTACACCAGCAGCGGCATCGTCAGCTGACGCCGGCGCCGCCACCACTGCCGCCGCCGCCTCCGGCCCTTGCGAAGGGGTTACTGAGTACAGCAGGTGCATCGTCAGGAGCAGCGCCCTCGGCCGTCCTCCTGCCTTCCGCGTCTCCCTGGGCCCCGCCATCGCCACAGACGCCAGCTGCCCTCCGCCGTTGCTACATCCACCAGCGGCGGCGCCTGCAGCGCCATTGCCGGCGGTCTCCCCCTCCCCCTCCTCCACCCCTAGTGCCGCCACCAGCTCAGCCACCGGGATCTGCACCTCAAGACCCGCGGACCAGTCAGGGGGCTCGCCGCCGCCGCCGCCGCCGCCGCCACCACCAATTACTGTGGGAGGTACGGCAGGCCTGGCGGCGACCACGCAGGAGAGGCGGCTAGTCAGGAAGCCGCCGACCCTTCCGCCGTCGCCAGACGCCCCAGCGGCGATGCGACCGTCCGTCAACGCGATCCCGTCGCCGCCGCCGTTAATCCCTCCGCCGGGAGAGGCGGCGCGCTCATCCTCCACCATAACCACAACCAGCCAGTTGCCGCCACGGCCGCCGCCACCAAGTCCCGAGTCCATGGATGGCGGCGACATTACCGCATTCAGCGCTTCCGGGGGGCCCAGGAGGCGGATCTTAACGGTGGTGTCGGACGAACGCACGCGTAAAAGCCCCGAGGGCTCATCACCGGGTGCGCCACGGCCGCCACTACAGCCGCCGCCGCCGCCGTCGCCGCCGCCGCCACCGTCATCGCCGTCACCGCCAGTTTGCCCGCCGCCACCGTACCTGCTGCTTCCCGGCGACGGCAGCACCACAACAGGAGGATCGGCGTACAATGGTACGACAATCCGTTGCGGCGCCGCCGAGCTGGCGGCGCCGCTGCCGTAGACAGCTGGCGGTTCACCTGAGGTGAAGCTGCACGAAGCCGCCGCGCCTGCATTGTTGCCATTGTACGACGGACTTCGTGATGGTGAAGGTCTCCGACGCGGGGCTCCAGCAAGGGCTGTCCCGTGCCGCTTGCGTCCCTCCGCACGACCTCCTCCCTCCGGCACCATTTCCGCCGACGCTGGTGGCCTTACAGTTGATACTGCCGTCGCTAACGTCGCCGCTGACACAGGCGGATCTCGCGGTGACCGTGACGGTGACGGCGACGGTGACGGCGGCCCCCGCTGTAGCAGCAGCAGCCCCTCAGAGCTGGCGGACTCCAGCGGCGCCAGCGGCTGTAGCTCCTCCCAGGCGCCTCGCAGCAGCTCAACCCGCATGCGCTCCGCAAGGCTGGCGGAGGCGGTGACGGCGGCGCCGGCGGCGGGTGCGCCCCCCTCTCCAGGCTGCCGTATTTGTGTTGGCGCCCAGTGAGTCCCTTCGACTTCGCAGCAGCTTCGTTCGTAATCGCCGCGTCGGTCGACATCCTCCCAAACTCGTACGACAGCAACTAATTGTATGCAGCCTGGCAGCGCCAGAAGCTGTACGGAAATCGGTACGGCGCCACTGGCGGCAAGAACGGCGGAGATGTTGCGGTTGGCCGCGGCTGTCAGGATGTTTGCTCCGTGGCGGAAGGACATGCCGGGCGGCGTCTCGTACTGTGTTTATTTGCACGGAGGGGGAAGGGGGAAGGAAGGGGGAAGGGGGGATATATGTGTTAAGTCCAGGAGACCACGGGAGGGGCGGCATCCTGGTAGTGGTGGCGGTCGGGGGAACATAAAGTGTATTCGGCATTGGGCGTAACAATCCAGGGGGAAGGGCCAGCGGGCGGCTTCAATGGACACAGCAGCAGTGGTAAGGTACAAATCCTCCTACAGCTCCAACAAAACGCTCCGCTCCGCCTATAGCTCCAACGAAACGTGGTGTAAACCGACCAGTCCCGCACAGTAATACGTTTTTTAAACCAAAGGATTGGATTCCGCGTGCAGCGAGTAAACCTGCCACAACAAACTTTTCAAAATATATAACCCGCCAAATCTATAAGCCGGCAAATCTACAAGCCGTCCCTAATGTGAATGAATTATGTCGTTATCGTGGAACGGACGGTGCCGCGCAGCCGCGGTGCATGTCGCACGATGTGCGGACTAGCAATGGTGATGACGTCATCCTTGACAGGCTCGCCTTGTTTCCTAACTAGGCTAGCTGGTGCCCAGGTGCCGGCATGTGCCGGCAAAAGGAAAAAAAATCTTCCAAAGTGAACTTTAGGCGCAGCCCAGCTCTCCACACCTTGCCGCTAAGAACCATGTACCCCGCCGCCCCCTGGAAGCCGCCGGGCTGCGGCCGCCGCCGGTACAAGCACGACACCCTGCTGCCGCTGCTGCCGCTGCCACAGTGCCTAACCACTCCGCCGCCATTACTGCCACTGCTAATGCCGCCTTTGTCATAGATTTCGCTGCCAGGACCGCAGTCACCGCTTCGACCCCCGCTGGCTAAGCTTGGATGTGCGGTCATGTCTTGGTCAGGTGCGGCCACGCCCTGTGCCGGCTCTTGTGCCGGGTGGTCCAGGTTCTCATGCGGGTTACTCGCTGTCGAGCTGCTGCCAGGCCGCCATCGCTGCTGTTGCTTCTGTTGTGCCGCTTGGCATTTGAGCTTGACACCTGACGGCCAAGCAATCGAGCTCTGGGCGGCGTCATTATTAGCCCCTGGGCTTTTGCCTTGCGAAGGCGCTGCGTATTTTTTTTGTGCTGGCGAGGTTGAGCGCGCCATAGTAATTAAATTCGCGATGCTGAGCACCAAGGCCATATGAGCTGCGATAGTTCGAATAATAAGCGTCAAACCTGATGCTGATGCTATTTGCGATATGGTCGCGACGGCTGCGGACACGAAGGCCGAAAGCGTCCATACGCGGTGCCGGAAACGGTGCCGCAACACACCCTTTCGTCGCAGCAGCGTTGTAATCATGAATATCTAGGCTAAAAGGCGGTGCACAAGTTCGATCGTTGAGAGTTGAACAGCTTGCGAAGATGGCTGGATGACAGGTTCTGAAGGCGATTCCATGACTCGGCCGGGGTGTGCAGACTTGCAACGTTGTCGCTACGCCTCATGGTCAATCTTGCTCCGCAGCCCGCCCAGCTTAGATCCGCAAGCACGTGAAAATGAAACAGCAGCCGGCGAACATGGTGACGAGCATTGCCGGATATAGCGGTGCCATACCTTGCAAACACGACAAACAGAAAACCTTGTCAAGCAATTACAGCTAGCTGATGCGGTTGTCTATGCATTTACTCACACAGCTGTGCTGCCCCAAATCAAAAAGCCCTAAGATGGTTCTGGGGGCTCGGCAAAAGCCGCATGCAGCCAAGCACGCGCCGATCTTTCTGGTACTGACGTGCTAGATTGCAAGAAAAAGGCAACAGCAGATATTTCATACCTCACAATATGAGAAGTTCGTGAGAGGCCTTTTCGCAAGCCGGTATATGAGGTTGCAGATGGCGCGCGGTAAACAGACCGCAGCACTTGAGACTGTAAGCCATTCGGCGTTTCGCTGCAACGCCCCAAATCCCACCCTGAGATCCTCAAGACCTAAAACATTCACACAATACTGACTGCCCTGCAGCCGCCGCACAGGCCCGCAACCTGCCGACGTTCTCCATAGTTGGCCTCCTACCACAACCTTGCTCCCGAGGCTAAACCCTAGACCTTCTTAACTTTATCCGATCCGCTGTACGCTTTCCAAGCCTCGCACACAAAACCTGGACTTCCATGCAAGCCCCTCCTGCCGGCTTGGGAAAGCCCCTCCTGCAAATTCTATAAAAGCTAAACCCTAATTCTAATAAAAACGCTCCCCCATGGCCGGCCTCTCATGAAAAGACCGAGTCCTCCAACGTAATCAGCTTATGAACCAGGCGCGCCAAGTGCAGCTTGCGACCCAGGATGCGCTCCAGGTCGCTCTGCGTCGAGGGCCCCCCGCCGCCGCCGCCGCCGGGGCCCCCGCCACTGCTAACGCCGTCCCCGTCGCCGTCATCTGCTCGGTCCTGCATCTCCCGCAGACATCGATACGCCGCCAGGAAAGCCTGGCCCCCCAGCTGTCGCTCCAGCTCTATTCGGAGCTCCTCCACTTTGAGCGCATTAGCGGCCGCAGCAGCGGCGCCGCCGCGCGGCGGCGGCTTCTGCCCGCCGGCGCCGGCACCGCCGCCCCCGTCGTCGTCCCCTCCTCCGTCCCCTCCGTCGTCCTGCTCGTGGTCCTGCTCGTGGTCCTCTTCCAGCACTGTGTGGATCTGGGCCAGCACCTCCAGGACCCCGGCAGCCGCCTGCAGGGGTTGCCAACATCGCCACACCACCACAGGACCAGTTCAAGACGGCTTCAATGCGAGCTGGGTGCTGGAGCGGTAACCGGAATCCGGATCCGCCAGGAACTGGTTTGCTCCCGAGGTGGTGTATCGAACACCCCCGCACCGCTCCGTGGTGTGGGCGGCGTGGGTGGTAGTGCGGACCACAAAGTCCAAATCCTCTCTTTTTCCTCACCGTTCACCTGACTATAGCTTTATTCCGTGCTGGCTGAGAGTCACAGACAGACAGACAGACAGACAGACATACGCACGCAAACACCCATGCACGGGCAGGCGCACGGGCAGGCACACGCACAAAGATGTTCATTTACCATGCCCGACCTGCAACACGGGGGCCCAACCCAACCCAACCCAACCCAACCCACCTGTTGGTCCTCTTCGGCCGCGGCCGCGTCTGCATCCCCACCGCTGTCGTGCGAGGTCATCGCCGCCACGCTCGGCTGACCCGGCTGCTGCGCCGCCAGCGCCGCCGGTGGCGACGCCGCCGTGTCCGTCGTGCCGAATGGCGTGAAGATCTGCACATCGGGAAATTCCCCCGACTTGGCGCCCTTAGGCCTGCAGCAGCCGGCGAAGGGGGTTGGGGCCACTGCACATGTCAGCGGGGGACAGGGCGGGACGAGAGGCCCCGAGGACGAGGAGGACAAATAGGGCGGAGGAGGAGGACGAGGCAAACGGGACTGTCTGCGGAGCGAGCTGCTGGGCGGGTCACGAAGGGCACCCTTTGAAAGGGGCCCATGACGGGACAGGGTTCCCCTGGGCGGGGGCCACGTGCAGGACCGGGCCGGCTGCCGGGGCACACGTGTGGATGGGTGTGCGTGTGTGTGGGGGGGGGTGCACAGGACGCTGTACACGGGCGACCCGGGTAAAAGCCGAGGCAACCCGAACCGCCACAACCCTCTCCCTCCGTTCTCTCTTGTGAGCGAGCGGACCACAAACCGCACGCCACCGCGCAGCTGCATCCATTCATACTTTCATCCATTCAAACAAACCAGGTCAGGTCAGAACCCAGCCCGGTCAATCATAAAGCCGGCCTGCACTAGCCCCGGGAGTTTGCTTGTCAATTCGTTAAGGAAACACACACACACACAGACACACACACACCATGCACACACGACAGGGCCTGAAGACTCCGTAAATGCCCAGCCCCGTCCGTACCGTAGCTTCCACGGGGGTTCCGCCGCCGGTCGGCCTCGACCTAACGGCCCCGCGCCGCCGTCGCTATGGTCGCCACATGCCGCGCCGGCAGACGACCGCGACGCGCGGGGCATCGGCGACTGTCCCGATATCTTCCGGCGCGGTTGCAGGTGGCCACCGGCCCCAGCGGCGCCGTCGCCGTCGGCGGAGTAGGCTCCGGAGCCACGTCGGACGGGCGGCGATGCTTTGCAATCCCCTTGTTGGAGTTGGTGGGCAGCGCTGAAGTCCACCACTAGGACCTGAGACACGAGGGAGGAGGAGGGGAGCAAGGTGAAGGGACGCGGGAGAGGGGAGGAAGGAAAAGGTGCACAACGACATTACGGAATTGACAGCAGGATGAGCGTGTTGGGAAAAGGCAGGGAAGCCAGAGCGAGGGGGACGCTAGAGCCCAGGCTGCGGGAACGCTTCTCGCTGCGAAACGGGAATGCATATACTAGGCGGCATACCGCTCACCCAGAACGGTCCTTATTTGCCAGCAAAAACAAACCTTCTCGATATTGAACGAAAAGGATTTGTTCCTCCCCACCTGAGGCCCCCCAGATGCCGCGTCACCGCCGCCAAAGGCCCCCCCGCCGCCGCTGCTGCCGCTGCCGGCACTGGCGCCGCCGCTGGCTCCCGACAGCGCTGTTGCCATGCGCGACGCGAACTGCGCCCCCAGCTCCGCCAGCTGCTCCTTGTTGATTCGCGCCCTCGCCGCTCGGACGTGCTCCCGGTGTGCTGACATCTGCTGGGCTGCCACCTCCTGCTCGCGCCGACGGGCTTCCTGAAGCGAAAGGTACGGTGTAAAAATACGAGGGCGTCTCTAGGGGGACGAAGGAATAAAAAGGGAGAGAAGGACTTGCCATCAGGATGACGGGCACTACGATAAGCAGCAGCAGCAGGAAGCAGCGGTAGCAGGGAGATGTGCTGGGGAATGTTGTGGAATCGGGCGGAATCACTAAATATTGTAAATCAGCGATTAAATTTGAAATTAATTGCACCGAAGGGCGTCGAGGGGAGGGATTGTTGGCGTGGTCGTGATGTGGTGATGAGGCGGGCAGGTGATCCAGGTGATCCAGGTCCGGGTTATCCTCCCTTCGGTGAGAGGCGAGTGGAGACCGCACCTCCTTGGCCTTGATGACCGCCGCGAGCTGCAGCGCCTTTTGTGCCTTGGCCTCCATCTCCGCCCTCTGCTCCACCAGGTTGCGCTCCTTTCGGGGACATACCAAAGAACGCAGGGAGACAATGGTGATAAACAGACAAATAACACTATGGATAAACGCTCTGATAATGTAGTTTTAACTGTTTTCTTAAACTGTTATCGGCATGGTTTTGACGAGCAAAGGCAGCTTTTGATTTCTTATCCACACACGCTGGGGTGATGGTTGGTAGAAAGGAAAGCTCAGCATGTATCCATATCACTGAGATAATGACAGGGGAGGGAGGCGGGGCAGGTTATTATTATTACTACATTACGATCATCATGTTGCAACGTGAGCTGAGCTGGGTGGTGGATGGAAATGACACGAGACGTGGGCGCAACAACGGCTCACAAGGCACAAACGCTTCCGTTTCCCCACACGCAGACCCCCCTTTTCTTGCGTCCACCCCCCCTGCTCCCCGGCCCTGTCCCGCCGCCCCCTGTGTTACCAGCCTATGGCGGCAGCCCACACGACTCGCCACCGTCCCTCTCCCCGCCTTCCCCCCTCTTCGCGCCACCACTCACAATTTCCTTCTGTCGCTCCGCCGCCCGGTTCCGCATCGCCACCGCTGCCTCGTGGTTCCTCCTGGCCGCCGCGGCCTTCTTCTGCTCCCGCATGGCCGCATTGGCCCGCCGTTGGGCCTCCAGCTCGGCGTCCCGTTGCAGCTTCAGCTCAGCCAGCTTGGCCTGCGTGGGGGTCCGTATTGGTGGTGATGGTCTCGAGTGTTCAGGTGCGGGAGGTCCACGTGAGCCTCGCACTGAGAGCGCTCCTCCCATTTGGGTCGCGGGAAAGATTTGGATCTACTTCGGGTCGGGCATTCTATCTGTCGGGGTCGGCCGCAGTCTTGAGCCGATCAAGTCATTCAGGTCGCGGGCATCTGCGCAAGGACTCTCTTCAGCTTGTATGTCTCTACAGTACTAGAGGTCAGTAACCAGTACTCCCCTCTACTACCACAGCACACGTGAACAAACCCCGCATGGGGGTTGACAAAGCCCTTGACTTCCACTCTTCCATCCGGACAACGTAAAAGGAGCGGTCGTCTGGTAAAGCACACGACAAGCAATTGCCATTGCATTCATCTTCCAGCTGTCGACCTCCTCTCACCCCACGTCTCTCTGACCCAGCAGCTAACCAACATGAAGCCCCCCTCCCTCCTCCTAAAAATCCCACCACGCGTTCTTCAACACCAAGGCATGTCAATACCCCGTCGTACCTTAGCTGCCGTGACACCTGCGAAACCAGTAGTGCCCGCCGCCCCTCCACCCAGTTGGCCGCCACCCTGGGGCCCCCAGCCGCCTGCTGGCCCCACTCCCACGCCAAGCACAGTCGCCTCGAGCGCGGCCCCTGCAACGCCGCCGCCGGCAGCAGCAGCAGCAGCAGCGGCGGCTCCAGGCGATCTGGACTCCGACCCCTCTGCCCCACCACCTGCCGCACCTCCACCGCCGGGCCCCGGACCCACCGCTCCACCTGCCTGCGTGCAAACACGTAATAAGTACCCGCCCATAAGAAGTCAGTCGCTCGAGCCCTAGCAATCGCATTCCCTTTCCACTGCAAATCTCAAAACAGCTTTTCACTGATAACAGCGTCATGACTTTCCAGCAGATCCAACTCGGGCTCGAGTACACTTTTACTTTAGCAATGGTGCATAGCAAAGCTGACACGCTCCGTGTTGCTGAAGCCCAGTTCAGCACCAGCGCGCATGAGCAGTCTCAGCAGCAATATACAGCGCTCTCTCCCTTCACGGCTCCGAGCCCCTAGCCAGCGCCCCCCCCCTCCGCACCCTGCGTGGCACCCCACCGCCCGCACTCTGCGCTGATGGGCCGCCCCCCCACCCGTTCCCCCTCTCATCTCCGCCGAGCTAACCCCCACCCAATCCCCCAGTACGGAAATCATGAGGGCTCCCCCCCGTATTATAAATATAATAGGGAAGCCGCTCAGTATCCGCTCACCCTCACCCCTCACCCGAGCCCTCGCTCCCGTCCTCACCCTCTGTGCCGCCAGAGCCCCTTCTAGCTGCGCCAGTGCCGCCTGCTGCTGACGTATCCAGCCGGACTCCACCAGCCGCTGCTGACCCCGCCGGGCCGCCTGCACCGCCTTGCTGGGCGAGCTGGGGACGTGGACGGAGCAAGGGAAGGAAAGGGGTACACGAACACCGAGGGCGGGGTAGACGAACACCGACGGACCACCGAGGGCGGGGGGCCGGGGAGGCAAGGGCGCGGGGCCGGGGGGGGGGAGGAAAATGGTTTGAAAACAGCAGAGCAGCCGGACGTTGCATTTCGTGCGGGTTATCGCCACTACCGCCAACAAGGCCCTATCCTTGACATCTACATCACGCAATACCTACACCATCTTAGAGAGTACAGATAGTCAAGAGGGCTGCCACACAGGGATTAACAACAACAACAACAACAACAACAACGGTTCCAAGTTGGCTGCAGTCACACGGACGGCCACCACCGAGCATGAAAGCCACATGGGCCCCATCCCGCACCAGCCAACCAGCTGGCTCCTCCCCCGCCATGGCGCTACCCAGGGGACCAGGTAACCCGACTGGTGACCCACCTGCCCTCCCCGGGTGTGGTCGGAGCCGTCTCCGTCTCACTGACGTCGTAGGAGCTGCATCGCTCCATATCACCACCACCACCACCCGCCGCGGCCGCAGCTGCTGCCGCCACCGCCGCCGCCGGGGCTGGTGAGACAGCGGTGTTGGTCACGGCACCGGCGGCGGCGGCGGCGGCGGGCGGGGCGGGCCCTGCAGCTCCGGAACCCGCGGAGGGCCCCCGTGGCGGCCGGTTGGCGGCGGCGGGGCGGGGCGTCCGGTGAGGCGCGGGGAAGGGGCGGGGCCTGCAAGGAAAACCAGGTCCAATACGGACATCCTTAATATGACGACGATTGCGGGATTACGTGTACGACAGGCTGGAAAAGCCCCCTCGGTCGACCGCGCTCGACCCCAAGGCTGTCCTCATCGTAACAGGCGCTGTACGACACGCTCATGGATGCTGATATAGTCCGAAATCTATGGATGCTAACAGTCGGGACTGTCGGGGCTGTCCGGGTCCCCGTGTCCGGAGCCCTTGGCCCCGCATTCCCTTGTCAGGCCAACCAGGCCCCTACCCACATCCCTGCAACCCACACACAACGGAAACCCCGCTCCATGCCCTCCTTCCCCTGCACCACATGACCTCCACAACCAACCCCCCGGTCGCATCCGTACCTAGGCCGCAAAGCCACCGCCCGCCCGCCCATGCCACAAACGTACCAGTGGGCGCTCCCATCGCCAGGGCTGCACATCCACCTTCCTTCCCCTGCACCCAGACCCTCATTCATCCATCCATTTTGAGACAGCGCCTCGTTACGGCGCCGCCCCGCACCCTCAGCTTCGGTACTGCTCCCCCCCGCCCGCATCGCAATGACCCCAGTGCTCTTCTGCCGCGTCGCTGTTCCCCGGTTCGTCGGGGCCCCGGCTCCCACTGCCCAGATGAAAGGGCGCTGGGAGGGAGGTTTTCAATCCGGGACGACTCCTTTCTGCCCTTTGGCCACCCACCTGGCCTCCGCTGCCCCCAACGCCGCCAGCCCTAGCGCCGCCGCCGCCGCCGCCAGCGGGACACTGCCGGGCCCCTGCAAGGCCCCCGGCCCTGGGCCCCCCTCCGCAGCAGCGGCAGCGTCCGAGGCGCCGAGGCCGCGCGACATGACATGGGCCGCGTAACGCTCCAGGTGCTGCCGTACAAAGTCCTTCCGCAGGATGGCATCGGCGGAGGGCCGGTCCTGGACAGGGCAAGGTGGGGTCGACCGGGGGGGGGAGGGAGAAGGGGGGGAAGGTCTGTGTATGTGTGTGCATGTGCATATATGCGAGGCGTGGTCCACAACATCACTGTCAAACAAAATAATAAAAAGGAAGGGAGGGAGTGAGGGAGAGGGGAAATATGTGGAAATGCACTCGTGAGATCGGATTATGGCAGGAGTGTTGTAAAATCGCAGTCGCAAGGGGTGGAAAAGAAGCCGCCGCCGCCGCCACCGCCGCCGACACACACACATGCACACGCACACACACACACACATACATACACACACAGAGGAAACGGTGAGCTTGGTACCGTCATCTCTTTCCCCCGGGCACCCCTCCCTTCCCTCCCTGTCCCCTCCTTCCTCCCACGCACCCACCCAGCCAGCCACCCAGCCAGCCAGCCAGCCCGCCAGCCACCCGGCCCTACAACTCCCCTCACCTTGGGATCCTGTTTAAGCATCGACTCAATGAGGGCCCTCAGCGGTGTGCTGTACCGCGTGGGTACGGGCGGGTACTTGCCACGCAGGATCTTAACCACCAGCGCGGGCAGGCTCTGGCCGTCGAAGGCGCGGCGCAGGGTGGTCAGCTCGTACAACACACAACCCAGAGACCATACTGCAGAGAGAAAACATAGGGAGCGTAGGGGGATGGGTTGTTGTTGTGTGGGGGGGGGGGGAAAGACGAACCACGAACGAGTGAAGCTGCTGCCAAGGAAAGAGTGTACATGGGGTAGAACTGTTGAGAGGGGGAAGGGTAGTGCTGCTGCTGCTGCTGCTGCTGCTGCAGCGGCGGCGGCGGATGACGGAGGCCAAGCAGGTGCCAGAAGCGGCTGACGGAGGGCAAACGGCTGCACACTGTCGCATGCGGAGTGCAAAAAAGGCAGGAAGGGGCACGACAGTATCGTCTCAGCTCGGAGGACATGGGCGCTGCTGCGCCACAGCAAACGCTCACCGTCGCTCTTGCGGTTGTACGGCCGGTCCTCACAGATCTCCGGGGACAGGTAGTACGGAGATCCGATCTGTCAATACACCGGGGGTGCGCGAGGAGGACACATGGGGGAAATCTGGGGGAAGCACCCGGCCGCCGTAACCCACCATCCCCATCCCCATCATCCCCATCCCCACCAGGTTTCCGAGCCCCTCGCCGTGGTAATAGTTCACTCCACACACCCCCACTCCACGCCGCCCCTCGTCACAGCAGCTCCAGGTTGCCAACCTCCTGGCACATCCGCATCCAATTCCAACATACAGCGGCGATGCCCTCTCCGAGGTAGACCCCGAGTCTCCCCCCACCCCACCCCACCCCACCCCACCCCACCCCACCACAGTCCGCGCCAGCTCCGTGTCGCTGTTCAGCACCCGGGCGATGCCGAAGTCGCCCAGCTTCAGCAGGCTGCCTGAGGAGGACGACGGCCAAGAGGGGGGGAGGAGAGCGGAGCGGACTTAGGGGGGCCCAGGGAGGTAGCCGCCTAGCCGCCGAGGGCCTGCTTCCCGAACTTCTATCGTAATGCAGGACAGGATTGCAGCAGAGCCAGCCTCTCCCCTCCTTGAAAACCTTCCCAGCCAACCAGCCGGCCAGCCGGCCGGCCAGCTTCGCCCCTCCCGTCTTAAGTCCCTCACAGCCCCCTTCCAAAGAGCCCCAATACAGCAGACCTCACCGCTGCCTCCCCCAGCGCAGCGCGCCGTCGCTACAAGCCCACAAGCTGCTGCTGCTGCTGCTTCTGCCATACAGCAACAACAACAGCACCATTACCACTACCACCACCACCACAGGGCCCCATCATCAACCCAGCGAACCCGCAGCAAGCTCCCACTCCCTCTTCCGTCAGCACCATCCCAATCAGTATCGATACCACCGCCCCGTAGAGCCCCATACGGCGGTGATGACGATGGTGACGACAATGACGGCCAATGACCACCCACCCTCTCCAATGAAGATGTTCTGAGACTTGAGGTCCCGGTGCAGTACATTCTTGCCGTGCACGTGGTACAGAGCCAGCACCACTTGGACGAACCTGCGTACGGCAAATAGTACGACGGGTGAAGTGATCGTACACACGAGCGCACGGAAGGAAGTGCCTTTATGTTCATCTGTCTGACCCAATTCAGAGCGGGCTGGGGACAGCGAGAGCAGCGACGCGCGTTAGGCTACTAGGACGCGCGGACGACGTCGGACTGGTCAGGGTGTTCGTGTCCGTGACTTATCTGAGGGCACAACAATAACCTCTGATACACGACGGGGCATCATTTCATCGCAAAGTAAGCACCGCGAGCACTTGCTTCAGGTTGGGGAGGTATGTGGCAGTCACTGCGCAGCCCACGAAACGTTGCCTACCGTTGCCTACTGTTGCCTAGCGTTGCCTTCATGCATACGATCATTGCAGGCCCTATGCGAACAGATGTAGATGTATTCAAGCCACATCGCACCGCACCGCACCACACCGCACCACACCACACCGCACCACATCGCTACCACCCAACCACCACCGCCATCACCCACCAGAACATGATTTCGTCCTCGGTGAAGGGCTTCTTCTCCTGCTGCCGCCGCTGAATGGCAGCCGCCAGGTCCCCCCCTGGAGCGTACTCCATCACGATGTTCAGCACGCCGCCCTACAACAACAACAACAGCAACAGCAGCAACCGCAACCGCAAGCCAGCAGTGGCCGTGGTCGTGTGAGGGCGGGAGAAGGGAGGCGGGAGATGGCGAAAGAAGGCCGCCGCGTTGGCCTTGGGTTGCGATGATAGCCAGATACAGATACCCCTGCTCGGTGCCCTGTCGCTATATATTTACAAATACACCCCCCTGTGGTGGTGTGTACCCTGCCACCAGGATACGATGATGCCGAAAGGCGGTCCCATCCCGCCCGACCGCCTTCCCGTGGCTCCCCCCCAAAGCGACCCGCGTTCCCTCAAACCCGAGTGGGTGTGGGTGTGGGTGTGGGTGTGGGCCGGAGACGCGATCCCTAGCCGCCTGGGTCGGTCGCCACGGCTGGGTAGTTGGCATATAAGCGGCCCATCCGCTCTCTATGGCAGGTTACTACTGCTACTGCTGCTGCTACTGCTCCTCAAACACAACGTTATTTTACCGAGTTGTTTAGAAGGCAGATAGCTGGAGCCGTGCATTTGCTACTGCTGCTGTTAATGGTGATCATGGTGGTGATGATCATCAAGTGATGGCTTTGGTGCCGGGGAGAAAAAAGGGGGGAGGTCGGCCGTCATTGTTACGGGGGTACGGGGCCTCGGGCTTCCTCAGCGTCCCGCAAACGGCCCCGGGCCGAGATTCAAGAGCCAAATGGGAACAGGGTAAGTTTTGCTGCTTTGCTGCTTTGTAAGCCGCTAGTGGCCGCCTGACACAGCCAGATTGGAGTTGTTGGCAGGTGTGGGAGAGTGGATAGAAGGGTACGAACCTCAAGCATGCACTCGTAATAGTGGACGATGTTGACGTGGTTGAATTGGGCCAGCACTTTCGCCTCGTTAAGCGTGTCCTGTTTTCGCCAGGGGATGGCGTGTGGTAGGGTGTCACCGTCCATAACCTTATATTAGTGCCCATGTGGTGATCCAATGGGCAGGCAGGCATGGGGGGCCCCCAAGCCCGAGGAGATGGGCCATGTGGGGCAAGAGGGCGTGGACGGGGCCACCAGACCGGCTCTTAATGGCTGTGCTAGCGGCCTCACCATGCGGGCTTTTTCATCCATCTCGAAGAGTCGAATCTGTTTCACCACCACACTCAAGCCGTCCTCTATTCGTGTTGCGCGCACAGCTCGCCCATATGACCCGCAACCTATTTCATCACCGAGGGTATAACGTTCGCTAACCGGACGTTCGCTGATGTTGAGCGTGGGGTCCGCCGACGCTACAAGCTCCTTGAAGCCAGCGTCAGCGAAGGATCCCCATTGCAATGTGGCCATCGTGTCGCTTTCACAGGGAAAGCTACATGGAGCAACGTTTCTGCAATTTGTTTGTGAATAAATTTCATGCGTGTACTGATTGTCACAGCGGAACAGCTTAGGACTTCAGCAACGCTGATACGACATGCAATACGAAAGGCTCTGCAAACACAAAGGTTTCTTCACAATTTAGTTCACATTTAAATTTTAATAACAAAGCATTCAGCCCGTAACCGCAAGCAGGCCCCATAGTGCTAAGAGACGCAAGTTATGTCAGCAATGTTTTCTCTATGTTCAAGGATTAGCAGTTACATAATGAAGGCCTAAATGACGTTTGCAACCTTTGTTTGCATGGTTGAGGTGATTTAAGCAGTATTTGCATTCCTTAGTCCTGACTATTTTGCACTACTGGGCGCTGGCTTGGCGATTGCAGCTTAAAGTAATGAAAACATGATATCTACAGCCTTGTAAGCATAGTGCCTCGAGCCGTGCTGTGGCAGCGCTCTGGTACAAGAGCACATCCCGGTTTCCTGTGTTGGGGCCAGGAGGCTGCTGGCAGAGAGGATGATGGATTTGCCTTGTAACCAAAAGCGCGACCAGGATGGCATCATTCGCATTATCCTGACGATGCTGGTTATGGCGCGATTCACAGGTAAGGTCACGTTGAGGTAGCCATGCCAAGTACACCTCGCTACCTGGACTTGGCACTGCAGTCAAGGTGCCTCTACGCTTCGCACGTTATCCACTCCCCCAACTCTAATCGTTTTTCGCTGCGCTTCGGTGCAGTCGCTGACATGGCGAACCCGGGATCGAATTACGACTGCCAGAAAGGATGCCGACGGACCTTCAAACCAGTATGCGGCGAGGACGGTCGGACATACAGCAACGAATGCGTCGCGACTTGCCAAGATGTGCAGGTTGCCCGGGCTGGTCCCTGCCCAGGTGGGTTTGCACCCTACCGGCGGCCCCCGCCGAAACTCAGGCCGGCCCCTGCTCCCGAGCCATCCGCATGACCCGCGAACATCATGAACCGCTTCTCATTCTCATTCTCCTAACTCACTATTGTCGGATAGCGCAGCCCTGCGAGCCGGCATGGACCGTTCACGGTGCTGCCCGGACGCCGCACATCCATCGTCCGCACAACTCACGCATCCTTATGTTGCCAACATCAATCCCGCCGAGGACAAACTGAACCAACTTGTTACCCACCCATTCACCCATTCGCCCTGGCATGCACCTAAGCAAAACCCAAACCCTAAACCATAACCGCACACAAGCGCGCGCACACACACACACGCACACACACACGCACGCACACACACACACACACGCACACACACACACACACGTACACACACACACGTACACACACATACACACAGATCCACCCGTCCACCCGACGCCGCGGCCAGGTGAACGCCTTCTCCACCCCGACAACAAACACGTCGTAACTGGTGCTGAAGGCGGACCTACCTCCTCCTCCAGCTCCTCCCCCGAGGCGGGGCTCATCACACGTCAGCACCTACACGCCTTCCGCCACGAGGGCTTCCGTTACGCCGGCCAAATGCGCTTCACAGGAGACATGCAGCTGAAAGGCCACGCCCAACAGCAGCAGCAGCAGCAGGAACCTGGCTCTGCAGCCGCAGCGACCGCAGGTGCCTCGGGCAGCCTGGGTCAGGAACAGCACCGGAACGGCTTCAATGCCGTACGGATTACTCGGGAGGGTCACGTGTACATGGCCGACATGGACGAGAATGTAGATCGGGTGCTGGAGTTGCTTATTCAGCACCATAAAGCGGATGGTGCGGCCGCAGCCACGGCCACGGCCACCAACGGCATCGAGCAGCAGCAGCAGCAGCAGCAGCAGGCCTCGTCTGCACATGCGCTCCTGCACAGCCTTCAGCACTGGCGGAACTACCGGTCCTCCGCCCGCCGCAGCGGCGGCACCAACAAGTGGTCGCGACACACGATCATCCCGGCGACCAGCGGTCCAGCCGACCATGTATTGCAGCCGGGGCTAGACGTCGCTGCTGCTGCGGCGGCGGTGTTTGCGGCTCAAGGACCTTCCTCCCCTTCTTCCCCTGACTCACCAGCCGCTACAGCAGCCTCTGGCGCTGGCAGCCGGGATGGGGACCGTGACGTGAAGGGCCGTGATTATTATTCCCCGCGGCAACTGCAAGAGGAGGGGGAAGAAGGGGGGCAGGAGGAAGAGGAGGAGGAGGAGGGTTTTTTCCCCTGGGTTAGGGTGCTTGGGGGCCCAATTGGCGGCCGGGATAAGCAGCAGCAGCAGCAGGGACAGCGACAGCGACATCTGCAGTCGAGTGGCAGGGGGGATCGGGGTGAGAGCGTTGCTGGGCGAGGTGCAGCGGCACACCGGCAAGTACGGCGCTCCCTGGGTGTTTTCGACTTGGTGAGTAAGCACCAGGGGCTCCAGGTGTGACAGGCGGGGGGGGGGGAAAGGGACAGTGGTGGTACTGTGGGGGGGGGAGCTGCCCCTCCGTTATCACCGATGTTGGCAATGACGTGCAAAAATGCGGAATTCGAGGATGGGAAGTTGCGGGCGGGTGGGACTGTGGGGGGGGAAAGACGAACCACGAGCGGGTGAAGCAGCTGATGTTGGCAAGGAAAGATTGATACGCCAGAAATGGGACTCTGCGTGTGTGTGTCTGGGTGTGCTTGTGGGTGTGTGTCTGGGTGTGTGTGGGTGTGTGTCTGTCTGGGTGTGGGTGTGTGTGTGGGTGTGTGTCTGGGTGTGGGTGTGTCTGGGTGTGGGTGTGTCTGGATGTGGGTGTCTGGGTGTGTGTGTGTGTGTGTAAGGGCTTCCTTGGAGAGACCTTTTGTTTAGTGCCGCCTGCTTGAGTGAGCTTGGCGTGTGTATGTCGCTCGGGTAGAAGTGTAGCCCAGGGGAGGAAAAGGGTTGAGTGGCTCTCTGGTTGTGTTTGGTTTAGGAAAGGTACACATACGGGGCGCTTAGTGGTCGTACGGGGGCCGCAGGTGACGGCCCTACGGCATGTGTGTGTAGGATAGTGTAGTATAGTAAGCATGTGGCCGTGCGCCCCGTGTTGGGGTGGGGAGGGATGGAGGGTGGAGGGATGGCGGTGTGAGGGGTGAGGCAGGAGGGACAGGAGTTACTGCCCTTGGGAGTGGAACTTGGCACAGCTCTCCATTTGACGGCACTATATGTGTGTGTGGGGGGGGGGCTGGGGTGTGATC